TCTGTGGAGGGAAAAGATCATGACAAAGATGATAAGACGTGAGTTCTCAGTGCTCAAAAAGAAAGAGAATGGCAAATTTATGATTATGATTATTAGTATGATAAGAATATGATGGTGACAAAGATAATGAAGTTATGTAATCTTGATCATTTGTTTTTAGCATTAGAAAAATCCAAGAAAGAACAAAAAGCACATTTTGGAAGAAAAATCATTGATAGGACAATCACATTTTGAACCTTATCTGTTTGGAAAATTGTCAACTCCAATTTTTTGACTGTACCTAGTAATTAGCCAGTATAAATGGGGCAACTACTTCACAATTCTTAGATCAAACGAAGACGAAATGCGGAAGGTTCTATTAGCGTAGAAATTACTTTACTCGTACGTTAATCACATCATTTAGTCTTTTTTCACTTGACCGTGTTGTCGGATTCTTTCAACGAACACGCGACTGGAAAGAAAAAGCACGTGATTTGGCGAGGTGTTTATGATTTTCAATTATGCTATATGAGAATTTGATGATCGTTGGCTAAATCCTAAGTTTACCAGCGGGAAAACCTTGGTTGCAATTTTTATCCACTGTTTGATCCTTATTCGTTGTCTTTGGTTGTTCGGGGAATTTGGAGGCAGCGTCTGGGCAATTTGGGTACTTGGACATACTTTGTGGTTTTTTTGAAGAGGCCTACATGCCAATGCTCAAGCTTCAGCTCAAATGGTCCGCTCGCGGCCCAGAATTTCAGCCCTGAAAGCTCGCCCATTACGTATGCTTTCCAGCCCGCACCCTTGAGTATACGGTAGTGGGCATGGGTTTAGGGCTGCATTTCTCGGTTACGAATAATTCATCTGAGCTAGCACTTAAGTAGTGGCTTGGATAAACCCTCCTAGTCCCACTTCGAAAGTTCTATGTACCCAAATTTACCTGGACACTGCCTTCAATGAATCTTGAAGCTTTGACTGCCTCTATTACAGTACAAAATTGGATTTTGAAGAACACGAGCTAAATACGCCGAAAGGTTTCGCAACGGATGAAAGTCTAAAAGCAGTGGTTGACATTATCGACGAACATTATCCAAGTAGCCGTAGGGAGTGCTTAAGACTTCTGAATCAGGTTGGATTTTTTCCGAATTTTTTTTTCGATCAATAAGTTTGCTACTTTGCAGCTGTTGATCAGCGAAGATCGGAACCTGGCTGCTGCTGCACTACAAGAGCTAAGCGACCGCACTCCGCTGATTGCTTATCCTTTGATCCGACAGATTTTGGTCCGACTAAAAAAGCTATGCTATAAAAAAGACCGATGGAACGATTCACGACCAGATAGCATGAATCAGCAGCTGTTGAAGAACATGCGCGTCTACGAAGTGGTTTTGGAATTTTTGAGCATACCGTATGACAAGGTATGAGGCTCTCACTTTTCCTATTTTATTTTTATTTTTCTCG